TTATTGCTTTGGCTAAGGCTTCCAGTACAATATTGAATAAGAGTGGCGATAAAGGTCATCCTTATCTGGTTCCCATTCTCAAGGGGAATGTTTTCAGTCTCTCTCTGTTGAGAATAATGTCGGCTATTGGTTTGTATATATGCCCTCAATTACACTGGGGAATTTCCCTTCTATTCCTATTTTGCTGAGAATGTTTATTAGGAATGGGTGTTCAATTTTATCAAATGCCTTTTCTGCACTGATATGATCATGGGGTTCTTTTCCTTTGTTTATGTGGTATATTACGTTGATTGATTTTCTAATGTTGAATCATCTTTGCATATCTGGTATGAATTCCACTTGGTCATGATTATTTTTTTTTATGGTGTTGGATTCTGTTGGCTAGGATTTTGTTGAGAATTTTTGCATCTATATTCTTGAGGGATATTGGTTTATAATTTCCTTTTTTAGTGGTGTCTGTTGTAGGGGGAAAACATCACACAGTTTAGTAAAGCAAAAGGAAGTTTTATTTGCCATATATTCAAAGGGGCAAAGATGCGAAGCGGACAAGCATGCTGCCAGAGCTAAAATGTCTGCCCAATCCAAGGAAGGTTACAGAATCATCAGTATATATTAACATCACAGAATGGGTAGAATCACTGAAAGCTTCACTTTTTCACAAATTGGCTAGAAATTGTGATATTATATTTTGAATTGTCTTTCTTAACAATCATTGGTACAGGTTTCAGTAACCCGACAGTCAGGAGAGTCTTCCTTGGTCCAGCAAATTTGTATTTACTGAATGCTAATAGAAAAAGATAAGAGTGGAAAGTCTTTTGCGTTCTGTTTGATTGGCTTATGTGAAAGGTTCCCTAAAAGATATTTTCCAAGATTATCTTAGCTATTGTTTTTATACCTCAGGGCCCAGTTGATGTGCCCTTGTGAGTCCTTGTGAGCCCTTGTGAGCCCAGCTCCAGCTGGGTCACATTCTCTATGCTCAAGGACAGGAAATAATAACTCTAATATTATTTCCTAAATCACGTCTTTGCCTGGCTTTTTGGCTTTGGTATCAGGGTTATGCTTGCTTCATAGAATGAATTTGGGAGTATTCCATCCTTTTCTATGTTCTGGAATAGTTTGAATACAATTGTTGTCGGCTCTTCTCTGAATGTTTGGAAGAAATCTCCAGTGAAGCTGTCCGGGTCAGGGCTTTTTCTTTCTGTTGGGAGTTTTTTTTATGACCTCTTCGATTTCTTCTGTTATGGGTCTGGTCAAAGGTTTTTAAGTTTTTTAATTATCTGATGATGTACTGCTGGATTGGCCTCCAGAATGGCTGATGCTATGAAGGTTATCCTGGGGCCTCTGGCTACACCACCAGTGGCCAACTGCTCTACAATTCTTGCCCAGGTGGGGCCCCCTCCTCATCCCCTTCCCCTCTTCTCCTCAGTCATTCCTCCTTTGTGTCAGGCCTTTCTTCCCAACCTCCTTGTACTTTGGGACCCAGTTCTTTTAGGATGTCCCCTCATCTTCATTTAAGTAACTCTACTCATCTTTCCCATTCTTTCTTGGGAGTTAATCCTGACTAATATCATCCTTCAAGGCCCTCACCCTTCTTAATCCTTATTATTGTGTTTGTCACATTGTCTTACAGTTGATTATGTCTGATTCCAGTTTGTCCACTGTAGTATGTACTCCTTGAGGGCAGGAATGATAAATACAACAGAAATTATCAAATGAGTAGCAGCTGTCATGTAAGGAGCCCCTCCTCCATGCCAAGCATCATGCCAGGTGCTTCCATAGGGACTGTATCTTATTCGTCTCTGCAATCCCAGTGCCCAGTACAGTTCCCGGCAAAGAGCGAGTGCTCAGGACATGTTAGCTGAGGCAATGACAGAAGGCTATGCTTCTGGGAGCCAGTCAAAGCAGAAGGCTGCTCACCCTGCCCCAAACAAGCCCATCAGCTCACTGATAACACGTGACCATTTGGAGAGAAAAAAGCCTACAACTGGGAACAACCAGAACGCAAATGTGAATGCTGACGCACTGTGAAAAATGTAACCCATGTCACTGAACAATCTGTGTAGACATTGTTGAATGGGAACCTAAACTGCTGTGTAAGCTCCACCAAAAACACAATATTATTTGCAAAAACAAAACAAAACAAAACCCCTACCACTCATTTTCCTCCTTTTAAAATTTTAAATCAGACCGAGCCACTCCTTGCTGGCAACCTTCCAGTGGTCTCCCACTGCACTTGGAATAAAACCCAAACGAGTTACTGTGGCCTCCTTAACTCAGCTCCTGCTTTCTCCACTGACCTCCTCTCTGATCCTTCTTTTCTCTCACTAGACTCAAGCCATGCTGATCCTGTTTTTTTAAAAAACATTTCCTGAGCTCTTACTCTGTGCACTGTTCTAAGTACTTTACATGTTACCTCACATAACCCTCCCAACAATCGTCTGAGGTAGGTGGTATTATGGCTCCATTTTACACGTATGTATACTAAAGACAGACAGGCTAAGCAGCTTGCCTAAGGTCACACCATTAATAGCGGGCAGATCTGGTGCTCAAAGCCCATGCTCTTAGCCAGTAAACTATTAGTTTCTGACCGCTGGAACACACCATCTTCAGTCTCACTCAGGGTTTTTGAGGTTGTAGCTTCCTGCGTTAGTAACAATCAACACAAGGTCGAGTCCCAAAATGTGAAGATAATTCATATCCGTATGTTCCCCCTTCTCCATTTCTGTCACCAACCACCCACACTGTGTTTTCTCTCTCTTACACTAACGACCCAGAGTTAGGTCTTTACAAAACGACTGCCTGTACGGCCCTCTTCTGTCCACCAGCCACCCAAAGCTGGGGTCTTTACAAGTAAGGACTCTGTTTTTCTAATCAACTGCCGGATAGGTAGACACCAGGCCCTGCTGGCCCTCACTGCCCCCAGTGGGTTCAGTAATTCGCTACAATGACTCACAGAACTCACAGAAAGGGGTATATTCACTACAACCTTTTTAATATAACCACAAAAGGATATACACGAAGAGATGTACAGGTGAGGTCTGGAAAGAGCTTTCGGCAGGGAGCTTCATGTCCCCAGGGACTTGCTGGTCCTCCCACTGCATCATCAATCGGAAGCTCAAAAGGAAGCTCCATGGTCAGGGTCCTTTAAACAGTTATTGGGGCCTCAGTGTATATGCCCCAGGCATGGTCTTTGGGCTCCTACCTCATTTGTACATGTTTAAGTTTGCCTCTGTGGTTTAGAAAAACAAAGACACCTTGGATTGCTGGGGAATTTCAAGGGCTATTTTCAGGAACTAGAGACAAAAGGCTAAATGGAGTTCTTTGTCCCACACACTACCTCTGCCTGGAATGCTCTTCCCCAGTCCCTCTCAGGCCTCCTCCTCTTCATCAAATCTCGGTTCAAACACTACCTGTCCGGGGAGACCCTCCTTGACTACTGGACTTGAACTAACCCCAATCACTCTCTACTACATGACTCTACTTTAATTCCTTGCATCTACTTACCAGTCTGATAGTCTGCTAATTATTTCTTCATTTGTTTATGGCCAGACTCCTCTGACAAGAATGGAAGTACTAAGACAACAAGGATCTTTTCTGTCTCATCTACTGCTATATACTCATACCTAGGCCACGGGGTGGTGGTGGTTAGTGGCTGTCAAATTGATTCCAACTCATGGCAACCCCATGTGTGCAGAGTAGTACTGCTCCATAGGGTTTTCAAGGCTGTGACCTTTCGCTAGCAGATTGCCAGGCCTGAATTCTGAGGCACCTCTGGGTGGGTCTGAACCACCAACCTTTCAGCTAGTAGTCTCCTACCTGCTTGTGCCACCCAGAAACTCCTGTTGGCACACGGTAAAGCTTCATAAATGTTTACTGAATGGCGAGTACCTTGACTTTGTAGTAGTAACAGTAATCACAGTAGTTGCTGTTACATTGTTCGATGCTGTCTATTCTGACTCCTGGCGACCCAGTGTGACAGAGGAGAACTGCCCCATAGGGTTTCCTAGGCTGTCTTTATGGAAGCAGATCGCCAAGTCTTTCTCCCATGGAGCCACTGGGTGGGTCTGAACCACGAACCTTTCGGTTAGCAGCCGAGTGCTTAACCACTGCGCCACCAGGGCTCCTTACCCCCAGGTATTCGTTCAATATATCTACCCCTTTGTATTTCTAATGCCCCTGCCACATCTCAGCAGGACACCAGGTAAGACATCCCACTAGGCTTCTAGGTGCCAGAGGGATCTCCCAGCCAGAGAGCTGAGACACTGACCAGATCAGCAGAAAGAGAAGAGACAGACCTCATCCTACTGGCCCTAACATTTGGATTTCCTCACTGAGGGACCTGGAAACTCTGCAACATTCTGGGAAGGTCTCATCATGTTATTTTCTTCTCATTAAAACCCTGTAATTCAGGAGCTTCTAAATGGCTACATTTTGTCAGTTTTTTGGGTAAGGGCTGGAGTCAAGTGACATGTAAAAACCTCTTTAGAGAGCGCCAGAGGAAGGCAGAGGGGGACAGAAGGGCAAGGACTTTGGAGGTATGCCCAGGAACTCTGTTTACTAGCTGTATGGCCTTGGACAGTCACTCCTTTTCCCCACTTGTAAAATAGGAGTATGCATGCTCACCTTGCAATGTTGTTGGTTTAGAAATATTTGCAAGCTACCCTGGCTCAGGAAGTGCTGAATAAATGGGAATTCTTTCCTTAGCCTTTTATACTGCCAGCTTGTACACAAAGGTGACGTGCAGCTAACTGTCCAGGCCCCCCAAAGGAGATAAACGGCCCCAGGTGAACCGAGAACAAGTTTCAATCATTTTTAAATACCCATAGCCCAACCAGGCCAAAGAAGGCCTTCCACAAACCTTGGTAAATAGATAAAATGAGTCGCCCAACACCAGTACCGCCCGTGCGCAGTCAGCTTCCGACAAAACCTGACTCATTTTAGTCCGGGAGAGGACCGTGGCCATCTGGCCAAGTGGCTCAAGCACTGGGCTGGCCTTGCAGAATTCCCCAGGCCGCACCTACGAAAGGCAAGACGTGCCTTTGGCACGGGAACACCAGCTCCGGGTTTCTGGAGCCTCAGCTAGCTTTGTCTTTTGTGATAGTGCCACCTAGCGAGGGCCTGGAGGCACTGCTGCCTATTTCTCTGGCAGTTGCCCGGACCACTGCGACACTCTTCGCCGTTTAGGCTCAGGTCGGGGAATGGGTTCCGCCCGAATTTGTCTCCATCTTACCGCCAGGCTAACAGTTTAAGACATGATACACTCCTTCCGTGACTCCGTATAGGAAGCGCACGCCAACCCGCCCCCAAACTTCTCCAGACCTGTGGGGTCTGAAAAGCACGAAGCGTCGGCGACCGACTACCCATCATATATTACCGACCAGCGACACTCCATGGTCTCCTCGCCACGAATCATCGGGAGTAGGAAAAGCAGGCATCATCCTCATCGGTCATCGTACAGATGAGGACAATGAGGCAAAGTGGCTGGCCAAGGGTCACACAGCGAACTAACGGCAGGGCCAGGACAAGAATCCAAGCTTCTTGTATCCAGGTCCCTAATTCCTTCATCGACCACAACCCCCTCATTCAGTGTGGAGACACAGCACGCCCACTCCCACGGTGGGCAGATGCTCGGGGACCCTCGCCCTTGCGCCGCGGACCAGGGTGGGGGGCGCAGGATAAAGGCGATACGGCGACGACCGTAGTTCTCGTTCTTCCTTGCCTGCCCACAGCGTTCCCGGCACCGTCGCCGCTGACTGAGAGCGGAGACCTAGCCCCCCACAGCAGGAAACAGGGTCCCGCGCGGGTAGCCCTTGGGAGCACGCGGCACCGGGTCACGTGACAAGGGAGAGCCGGCGAAAGACGGCTGGACGTACGACGCACGACGTACGCAAATACGCACTGAGGCGCTGGACGAGAGGAGCCCGAAGCCCCGGTCACGTGTAGAGGGTGGCAGGCGAGAGCAAGGGGGCGGGAAAGACAGGGCGATCACGTGAAAGGGGCCAGCCCGGGGAGATCACGTGACGGGGAACGGAGGCGGGGCCGCCGAGGAGGAGAAGGCGGACGAGGAGGAGGGGCGCGCGCTTCCGGCGGCGGGGGGAGCCGGCG